CACCCCCCTCCGTCCCCCCAAAAAAAAAAGAGAGAGAGAGAGAGAGAGGATGCACCAAGGATATGCCATCTGACTTTTTCAAAATGTGTCAGTGTCCGATACTACTCGCCGGCACTGAGAGGACGTCGATTGTATCCTAAGGAGTCATTTATGATATAAATTCTTGATTTATAGATGGACAAATGACCATATTCAAATAATCTCATACAAAGCTATTTGGTTGAATATGATCAAATTCATAGATCATATATAAATGATGCTGAGATTTGAAATTTTCCTCTCTTGTGAGATTTCAATATGATCAAAGATCTTTGACCAAATATTGCATTTAATCTTTGGAATTGTCTATATTGCTGACTTGGACAGCCAAAATTTAGTGCTGGTCTAATTTCCTGGTGATTGGCTAGTGTCTTGCTTGTGTTGTAACGGGTTTATTGGTTGGTTACTCTCTTTTGGGTTTAACTTTTGTACTGGCGGCAAATGATCTGGGATTCCTTGCTATTTGTGTTAAAAATCTTTTTTCCCGGGGTATGCTCCAATCTATGTATGCTTTGGCTATCTAATGAAGTATTGTGTTTACTCTAAAATGAATTACAAATTTCAGGAAGGTGGTCCAATTGGTCTTGTTGAAAATGAAGATATAATTACCATAGATATTGAGAAGAGAAGAATGGATGTGCATTTAACAGACGAGGAACTGCAGGAGCGCAGAAAGAAATGGACTCCCCCACCCTATAAGGCTGAACGAGGTGTTCTTTACAAGGTATGAGGAAAGTTCATGCTGTACACATTTTTCCAAAGTTTGTAGTGTCCTATTGAACAAACCGGGATCTTCTTTATTTTCAGTACATCAAGAGCGTTCAAGCAGCTTCAAAGGGATGTGTAACCGATGAATAGTAGAGATGGGTTGGTAGGAAGGCATAGAGCAACACCAACCGTAGTACTTGGGGCATATTTCTTGCGGCTGATTAGAGTATCCGAGTTTATGCTCGATTTTCCAGTACGATTAAATTCAGTGTATCCTATTCTCTTAGAATTCGTGGTTGTATGTCTAGTCTTTTCCCATCCTTCATTTGGTTGTTTATTGAATTATATGGGAATTTCCTTGAATATTGTGGTGTTAAACAGATTTTTCTGAGCATAAGAAATGAGGACATGGATCTTCAACTTATGTGTATTGAAATAATAGAGCCCAGTTAAACACTCAAATTCAAAACGACTGGTGCATTACGTCGGGCTAGACGTTGGTGAGGATGAACGACCACGTTTTTGGCAGTTGGACTCAATGCTGTGTGTAAGGGTTAAAAATTTATTTGTAAAGATAAATAGAAAATTATCTCACACGTAGATTAATTGAGTACGAGACGTCAAAAGATTAATTTGTTGCGATCCATGACACTGTTACTTCAATATTGTATTTCAAGTAGCAACGGTAATATATAATAAAATGTTTAAAGCACTCGAGTGTTTAACGACTACAATGTTTCTCATTTTAATTGATATGAGTGCAAAATATTTTAAGATCTATCTAAGTTCAAAAATCAGATATAAAATAATGTACGACATTAAATTTTGAAAATAAATAAGTGGACTTTAAAGTTTAAACTAGCTAATTCAAAAATCAGATATAATTAAAATTCTCAGTATTAATAATAATGTTATAAAAATTATTTTACATATCCAGCCACTACCATTTACCCTCCCAAATCCTAATTGTTTCTCAATCTATTCTCTCTGTCTCTGTATATATAGCCAGCTCCTCACTTCTCTCTTTATTTCTCTCAAATTCTCTCTATATTTCACCACTATTCATTCTCTTTACCATTCACCACTAGTCGCTTTGCCTCTCCCTTTACTCTCTACGCTCTACATCACACATGGACAACCAAATAAGTAGTGCCAGCTATGATTCTTCCTGTTGCTCATGAAAGAGCTATGATACAGTGGATGGTAGAGGACTCGTGAGCCTTGCACCAACCATATGCCTGCTGCGCAGCGCCATCGCAACGATATCATCGTAGTCGTGCACAACTCCCGTTGTGGTTGCATAGCTGTTTCTTTTTTCGATCTGTTTTGGAGGGGTTGTTTCTTCCTCCAGTCTGCTTTGAGGGAGTTTTTGGTGTGCTGCGCTATGATCTATTTTGGGTGCTTTGGTGGCTTTTGGGTTCACTGTGATTTTGTTGGTGGTGTTTGTAGGGTGGTGGCGACAGCGATTTTAATGTTGGCTATGATGGTGAGGAGGTAGTGGTGTTGGTGGCCATAACGACGGCGATGGTGGCCATGGAATCAATTGTGGTGGTAGTACAGAGGTTGTGGTGGTGGCTATGCTTGGGATGGGGTAAGTGGGGGTATTTGTGATCAATTATTTAGTTGATTGCGATTAATAAAATAGTTAATTTGTGACCAATGAATAATACATAACTTAGAAAAGGTGATTCTGATTCACAATTTATAAAATTGTGATCGAGAAATAACTACTTAATTTGATAATTCTGTAACCATTTTTTAAGCTGTGACTTATAAAATATGTGATTTGTGAGTAATAAATTAATTGTGACATATAAAAAAATTTTATTTTGTAATTGATGAATAAATTGTGACATAAAATTTTTGATTTGTGATCAAATTGTAAGGAATTATGAGTTTAATATATTTAATTAACAAAATATATTTAATTAATTATCCCTAATATATAAAAAGGAGAATGTGAAGTTACCGTAGAAGTGAATTGTGAGTTAATCCATTTTGTCTCACTGTAGCATTTTTAATTTTTCTTTTCAAGTGGGCGAGCAAAAACGACGCCATTTGTCTTATAATATATTTTATTATACAGTACCTCCAAATTTACTGCAACACGCAACTTTCCATGCCACCAATCTTATCTCTTCACTCTGTGCCGAATAAAAAAATATTAGCTTAATATATTTCTAAAATGTAAAGAATTAGTTATAACTAAAAATTTGTTTCAAGTTTTTTAATTTTAAGTTAAAAAAAAAAAATTATGATTGTAGTTAGTTATTATATGTAAAAATGTATTAGCTTTAAAAAAAATTTTATTTTCTCTCTAAGTCTCCAAGCCATGCATCCAGGGAGACAAGGTCTCCGTGCACGGAGACTTTCTCTCCTTAATTTTTTTTTTTAATTTAAAACTTACATTTCCAATTTTAACTAAATAATATTTATATATTTTTTATTTAATTTTCATAAGCTTCTTTTATTTTGTATTTATTAAATTTTGTTTGAAAATTTATTTTTTCGTTTTAAATTTTTTTATTCTTTTCGCAGGAATTTTTAATTTTAATTAAATAATATTTATTTTTACTTTTAATTATTTCAATTTAATTCCATTTTGTCTCATTGTAGCATTTTAATTTTTTTTCCAAGTGGATAAGCAAAAATGACGTCGTTTGTCTTGGTATATATTTTATTATACAATACTGCAACGTGTTGAATAAAAAAATGTTAGAAAGTGGAGATTATGAAAATGACATTCCACTGTCTGAATTATTGTATCATTCTTCCTGTAGATCTTCGTCTTCATCTGAAAGTCTTGAGTTACTTGCTTCATCTTTTTCTTTCTGATCTGGACATTCTGCAATTTCTTTTTCTTCTTCATGGCTCTTTTTTAATATTATCTCGAATGCTTGGTTAACTGCTTCTCTTATTTGTTCTTTTAGTCCTTCATCATTTTTCTTCTTCTTAATCTTTTTCTTTTTTCTAGAAGAAGTCCCTTCATCTTTTTTAGATTGTTTTTGGAGTTCTTCAAATTTCTCAAAAATCTTTTCTAAAGAAGCGGTATCTGGATTAGGATCTTGTGATTCTTGAAAAAATAAACATTCTTGACTATCTTGCATTTTTTCTTTTCCCTTACTGGATTGAATTTCTTGGGCTTGTGAAAATTCTGGATTGTTTGAAAAATGTTCTGAGGAAAAATGATCTGGTGGACTATATTTGACTAAATAATCAAATTTTTCACTGGGCTGTCCTAAGAGATCCCAAATCTCTTTACCTTTTTCTGTAGCAGATTTATCAGTCTGCTGAGTCTGATTATCTAATTTAGTAGGAGATAAATAAAAATTTATTCCTATCTGTTGTCTTGCAACATCTAATGCTTCTTGAAAATTTGTAAAACCTTTGTAAATAGGTTCTGGAAAATTCTTAATGCAATCTATAACTTCTAACCAAGAATGAAAAATTCCTGGATTTCTTCCTTTAATGACAACATAAAATTTAAACCTTTGTTTGTTCTGACTAAAATGTTCTGATAATGCATTCATGCATGCAAAAAAATATTTTTGGTCTTTTGGATTCTTATTATAAGAAATCCATAAATTGTATAAGACTACGAGTTCTTGGTTTCCAAACCTTAGTCTGTCTTGTAACATTGGTCTGTTCTGATTAAATGGAGTCTGTGGTAATAGTCTTGATGCAAATGAATTCCCTGGTGGAATTCCTGGTCTTATAGGCCTTGGCCTTGTCATCTGTATAAAGAAATTATGTTAAACAAATTTAATAATTTCTATCTATTATTATTCTACTTAATATATCTGCTGCCTTATTATCACTACCTTTAATATGCTCAAATTCTATATTAATCCCTGTATTTGTGATTCTATCTATAAAATTTAACCATTTATATTGATTCCTGTATTTGTAATTCTATCTATAAAATTTAACCATCTTCTTCTGCTACTTCTTTTTGAATCTATTTTCATTTTATTGACAAAAGAAACTATGGCTACACAATCTGTTCTTATTGTTATTTCTTTCTTGGATATAATAAATAATTTAAAACTATCTAATGCATAATTAATAGCTAATAATTCTACATCTATACTACTTAAATTTCCTTTTTC